CCAAATACAATTAAACTGAAAAGTAGAGCCCTGATCCTTCTCTCTTTCCTTACATTTTATTGTTAAATAATTCGTAGGGACAATTACAGGAGCAATTTGTGATATTAGTATCAGTCCATGTGGTTCTAAAGACATCCTTTCCCCCCCGAACTTGATGAGAAGGGCCTTCATCCAATAAAGGCAAAATGAGAAGAAAAGAGGAAGCTAGCTCCGTTCACGTGGTCCATTTTTACAATTTTCATTGTCCTTTGGCTCTTTTTTCAAATTGTAATGCTGCGATAAGTCAAACTCAACTGCACATCTTGCGATACTATTTCCATTGTAGACTGTTCTCAAAGATAATGATTTTGCTTCTGACAAAGGAAAAAGCACTCCTGGAGTTCTCCTTTCAGTATTTCACCAACCTTGTCTCTGTGGGGTCAGAGGCCAAACAAATCCGGGAGAGAGAAATCACCAGCAACTTTAGAGCTGGGACACTGGAGTGTCTTCATAGGTTCTTTCACACTCAGAACTATTTGTTCTCTCCTTCCCTCACTTCTCACACCCACCTCATTTTCACTTGACTGATAGTTCATTGCGAATAGAATTCATCAAACAGGAGCTCCCATGTCTCCCATGACGAGTTCTACAAACCTCCTGGGTCCCACTGTGTTGGTAGACATGTCCTTCTCCTCCCCTGCCCACACCCCCATGTTACCCTGCTCCATCTCACTTTAACAAGTCTCCCTCTCCCTTTTTTCCCCCCAATCCCCATCCCATATCATCAATAACTCCGCTTCTAGATCACTTCCAACATCATACAAGTTTACTCTTATATCTTCCATCTTTAAAATAAAACTTTCATCCGGTCGGCGTGGCTCAGTGGTTGAGCATGAACCTATGGCCAGCAGGTCACGGTTCAATTCCTGGTCAGGGCACATGTCCTGGTTGCAGGTTTGATCCCCTGGTAGGGGGTGAGCAGGAGGCAACCAATCAATGATTCTCTCTCATCATTGATGTTTCTATCTCTCTCCTCCCTTCCTCTCTGAAATCAATAAAAATATTTTTTAAATAAAAATAAAACTCTCCTTTGACCCCAAGGGCCCCTTCAGCTACTGCCCTCTTTGTTCCATTCACTTCCAAACTCAGCCTACCCAGGTTGCCTCTCAAGTCTTCCCTTTCCCACGCCCATTCTTCCATCAGCTGCAGCGTGGCCTTGGTCTTATCACACCACCGACAATGAAACTGCTCTTCTCATGCTCCACAATGACCTCCCTGTCATGTGGCCAACTCCAATGGACACTGTTAGGGGCCCTTTTGACTGGAACACTCACAGTGTTCCAGTGTGTTGGCACAGCCCCTTCTTGGAGCATTCCCTGCTCTTGATTCTGAAACAGTTCCCCCTCTGGCTTCCTTCCTGCCCCTCTGGTTGCTGATGACCCTGACACCACAGTGTCCTATCTCCAACCTCTGGGCTGGCTCTTAAAACGTCTTCTCTCTTCCCTCTGCAGATTCCCCTTACATAATCTCACCTACTTCCATGAATCTAAGTATGAGTAATAGACAGGTAACTAATAAACATATCACCTCCAGCCCACATTGCTTACTGAGTCATTCATTCAATTATCTCTATATGACATCTCTCCTCGTAATATGTTACAGGCATTTCCATTTTTTTTGCATGTCCAATGAGGAACCATTGATTCCCCCCTCCCCCCAAAAAACAAAACAAAACAAAAAAAAAACCTGTTCCTCCCTCAGTCTCCTTCACTCTAAGTGGCCAGATACCTGTGACATTGCCTTGATTCCTACCTTTCCCTTACCTGCCGCATTCAGTCCATCTGCAGGTCTTATGGATTCTTCCTCTAAAGTATATTTGCACCCATCCATTTCTCTATTTCACCACCCTATCCCCAGCCATCCTTGCCTCCTATCTGGAATATTGCAATACCTTCCTCAAGACCTTCCTGCTTCCTCCAGTCCTCCCCCCTGGGATTCTCCATGCAGTCAGAGAGAGCATTATGAAACAGAAACACATCCTGTCATTCCCTTACCTAAAAAAATGTTAATGATTTCCCATTAAACTTTGAATAACATACAAATAACTTAGTTTTCCCTCTGCCAACTTCATCTTTTATCTCTGTCCTCTTTCCTTACTAGATCCTGCCGCAATGGCTTCCTTCTGGTGGCTGGAACTCACTAAGTTGTGCCTCGGGGCCTTTGCACATGCTGTTCCATTTGCCTGGAGGTTGTGCTTCCCCTGTTCTTACCAAAGCTGGCTCCTTTTTATTTTTCAAACCTACACATTACTCCTCAGGAAGACCGTCCTTGCCTAACCAAATAGGTCTTTCCTCTCATTCTCTATATCCACCTGCTATTTGTTTACTTCATAACACTTCAAATTTTGTAATCACTTACTTGTTTACATCTCCATCTTCCCCTGAGTACAGGAGGTTTGTATGTTCTACACATGGATGAATCTAGCAATTGGCACAGTACCTGGCAGCTATTAGGCTTTTAATCCTGTGTTTTAAATACGTGAATAAAGGTACTCCCAGCCTCCACTCCACCTTAACTGCTCAGGTCAAGGTCTCAGTGATGGCCATGTGGCCAAGCCGCTCAGTGTTCTGTGCTCATCTCACTGATTACAGACTAGAGACAGGGGAGCATCTTGGGGTTCATTTTATTCTCTGTGAACCTCATCAGTGTTTACCTATAGGTGTGTTTCACCACAGTATCCCCAGCACCCAGCTCAGCAGACACTTAATAAATACTGTTGATTGAATGAACTCCTAAGCTCAATGAAACCGGATGGGGAAGGAAATGGAGTGGTATGCTGATGGTGGTGTCAAAACTCTGAATACTTCTGGGGCAGAAATTTTAAAAATGGCTTCAACTTTCAGAAATGTTTATCATTCCATTTGCATAATAAAAGAAAAACATGTTGTATAACTTTTGCTTTATAAAGGGAGAATAAACTTCCTAGTTTCCATTGCTGAGCTAGTTTAGCTTATAAGCCAAATTCTACCTCTGTTGGTTAGAAATGGTGAATAAAAGCTTTCCCATCTTCCAAAGAAAGACACCAACCAAGGGCAATTTAAAATGGTTTACATCAACCAAGCAAGGAAGCTAAGATCCTAATCCTTCTGCCTCATTCAAAATCCTGTCCCCTACCAATTTAGACAGTGCTGTTTATGAGAAATAAAATAAGAATACATCCACCTCAACTCAACTTTGATTCTTTTGAAGGACATTTAACCCACAGGTATTCGTGGGACACAGAGAAGCTAGAGTCTGCACCCCTTGAAAATGCCAGTTGCTGTAGCTTCCTGGGTGTTTGGCCGACCTGCTTTGCAGAAGAAATCCAACCTCGATTGTGACTTTTCACTCCGTTGAACTTGAGGCTCTGCATGCTCCCTGGTTCTGCATCCCATTGGGCTGGTGCCAAGAGGATTAACTGGACTCCACCTCTCCAGCAAAGTGATTCATTGTCCAGTTTAGGAAATGTAATGTCAGGCTGAGAGAGGCTGATGAGCAAACTGGGTGGGGCTACAAACAGCCCCCACCCCCACCCCCCAGGGAAATTCATTACAGGGTGTCTTAGAATAAAGTTTGGTTCAAAGTGGTCAAGAACAAGGAGTGCCATTGTGGGCTGGGAGCCACTGCGGCTTCAGCTGTTTGCTCAGCATTTAATATGTTTATCTTTCTGCTAAATACGTTGCTGTTGAGTCATCTCTATTATACCGCCACCCTGTGTGAGGCCCAGCTCTGCAAACCCAGCACACAGCGGCCGGCCTTCTATCCTCGGTGACCTTACGTTCTACAAAGTCAAAATAAAGGCTTTCTCTTACTTCTCACTTTAGTGAGCCAAGTACCCAGGTTCTGAAGGAGGTGAATCATGTGTTCTTTCATCAGGCCGGGAACCATGAAGCAATAAAAGTCAAGGAAGAACTTAAAGTGCTCATTATGTTTTTAATATCGTTTAGTGTTGTGGCTGCAAATGGAAATGGAAAGTCAATTTACCCAAAAGTACCATCAGCCTCCACATCATCAATATTTCATGGTGTCACCAATGTCAAAGCAATTATATTAATCAAACAAATACTTGGATTAAACTTCTAAGCTTTGGGCGGGGTGGGGGGTGGGGCCCAAAGACCATATAACTTTGAAAAATAGAAGCACTCATGAAATGCTCTCTGTTTGGCCTTCCACAGAAATTGTTCGAGCCATGACACACGTGATAAACCAAGGCATGGCGATGTACTGGGGAACCTCCAGGTGGAGCGCTATGGAGATCATGGTAATTTCATTTCTCTTTTTAAATGGCCATTGAGCATCTTATTACAGGGATTATTGCACTTTGTTTTATTGTTCTTCACACATACTGCGTTTTTTACAAATTGAAGGTTTGTGGCAAGGCTGCATAGAGCAAGTCTCTTGGTGCCAGTTTTCCAGTAGCATTTGCTCACTTTCTGTCTCTGTGTCACATTTTGGTAATTCTCACAAAATTTCAAACTTTTTCATTATTTTTATATTAGAGGCCCGGGGCACAAAATTCGTGCATGGATAGGGTCCCTAGATCAGGGCCGATCTGTGGAGCGACCAGCGGGATGATGGGGGGTGGTCCCCCACTGGCACCTGCCTTGGCTGGCCTGGGGCCTATAGGCTGGGGACAGCTCCTACATTGAGCATCTTCCCCCTGGTGGTCAGTGTGCATCATTGCAACCCATCATTCCACTGGTCGTTCCACCGGTCGGTCGATTTGCATATTTGGCTTTTATGATATAGGATTTGTTATGGTGATCTATGATCAGCGATCTTTGATGTTACCCTCCACTGGCAAAAAAGTTACCTCTTGCTAGCTGAAGGCTCAGATGATGGTCAGCATTTTTTGCAATAAAGTATTTTTTAATTAAGATATGTACATTGATTTTTTTTTTATTTTAGACATAAGGCTATTGCACACTTAGTAGACTACAGAAGTGATTTTCAACCAGTATGCCACAAGAATGTTTAAAATATATAATACCTGACTATTTAGTCAGGGGCACTGACCTCTTTTCCCTTAGATTGTAAAAAAAGAAGAAAAAAATGATAATAGCCCACATAATAATAGCCATCTGGTGTGAATGAATCAAAATTATACCTATTTTTTGGTCAGAGTGACAAAAAATATATGTTTTGATGTGCAGCAAAATTTAGTAATTAGTTTATATGTGCCATGAGATGAAAAAGGTTAAAAATTTCAAGACTACATTATAGTGTGACCATAACTTTTTTATGTACTGGGAAGCCAAAAAATTCGTGTGGCCCACCTTATTGCCATATTCACTTTATTGCAGTGGTCTGGAACTAAGCCTGCAATATCTCTGAGGTATGCATGTACTGTTTCTCAGATACCATGTGTAAACTGCAAGACCTCTTGCAATCTTCCCTCCCA